CGTTCCCTCGCGGGTTGAAGCGAGCGACTGGTTTAGCCTTCACCCAGAACCCACCACGCTCTATCCCACACGCTTAAAACTTAAGAGCCAGGGTTTAGGGTTTAGGGTTTAGGGTTTAGGGTTTAGGGTTTAGGGTTTGCGCAGGTCTACTGGCACATCCGGCGCTCCCTCGCGGGCTGGACCGAACGCATGCAGCTCTACAAGTGGGAATGGCCCGGCAGCAGCAAAAAGGTGCGGCCGCAGGCGAAGTCCGGCCGCGCGCGAATGGGCTGGCGAAAGGCCTGCGGGAAGTACTTGGGGGTGCAGACTTGGCCGCTGCGGCCGCACTCGTGGGCCAGCAAGTGCAACGCGCGCCGTGAGCGAGGGTTTAGGGTTTAGGGTTTAGGGTTTAGGGTTTAGGTTTTAGGCTCTAGTGTGTAAGGCTTAGGGTTTAGCTTTTAAGGTTTAACGCCTAGGCTCTGGGGTCTAGGGTTTAGGGTTTGTGTTGCGATTTAAGCCTCATGATCTGGGGTTTGGCGTTGGGGGTTTAGGCTTTAGGGTGTTGGTTTTGGGGTTAAGGGTTTAGGGTTTAGGGTTTGGGGTTTAGGGTTTAGGGTTTGGGGTTTGGGGTTTTGGCACAGTGATGTGGCGCGGGGTGGAGCAGGCCCTCTCCGCCAAGTTTGCTCAAGACCAAATTATTGTTGTCAGAGACTTCAACTTGACTTCTCACAAAACTGCCAAATGCGTCAGACACCTCAGGAGGCTCCTCGGTAGCTGCTGCTGCTGCTGCTGCTAATGACCTTGCTGCTGCTGCTGCTGCTAATGATCTTGCTGCTGCTGCTGCTCCTAGTGATTGTTCTGCTGCTGCTGGCAGAGGTCCTGCTGTTGCTCCAAGTAGCTTTGCTGCTACTGCTGCTAATACTCCTGCTGCTGCCAGCGCTGCTGCTGCTATCCTGCTGCTGCTGCGTCTGCTGACTATCCTGCTACCGCTGCTGCTGTCCTGCTGCTGCTGCTGCTGATGCTCGCAATCCTGCTGCTGCTAGTGCTGCTGCTGCTGTTGCGCCTGTGCATCCAGCTCAGTTCCCTCATTCGCGCGCTCATCGACTCCAACTTAGCAGGCCATTTCGCCACTTCTTCCAATTATTATTTATAATTAATAGTTTTTATTTTATTTTATTTTATTTTATTTTATTTTTTATTATTTGTTCCCAGGCCGCCACTGCCCCAGCGCGCTGCTGATCCACGAGGGCCACAACGACGTCAACGAAAACTGCCGCTGGGCGACGGCGCACATAACTGGCGTGCGGCGGACGGACGTGGCGGTGGCTAAACCCTAAACCCTAAACCCTAAACCCTAAACCCTAACCCCTAGTTCGTGGGCTAAAGGTGCTTGCGCTTGACCCCGCTGGCCGGGAGGGGCCGAAAACCAGCAAACCCTAAACCCTAAACCCAGTCGGCAACCTGAGAGATTGAGCCCACAGGAAACCCTAAACCCTAAACCCTAGCGAGTATGCACTATGCCCCAAGACCGAGCGGGGAGGCCCTGCTAAACCCTAAACCCTCGCAGGCATGAGCCTCTGGGCCACAGGAACCCTAAACCCTCGTGCTCTCTCTGCTGCTGCTCAGGGAGTGAACGCCTATTTGCTGCTGAAGCACCGCATGGTCTTAATAACCCTGAAGGCGCTGCAGCAGCTGCTGTTCGAGCTGCAGCAGCAGCAGCAGCAGCGGCTGCCCCGCTATGCCACCCCAGACGGCCGCCCAGCGCCTCCCCCAGTGCCTGTGCCGGGCTGGGCAGATGAGTGGCTAGAGATCAAGGCTCGGGAAAGAGCGGCTAAATTCGACAGAGTCCGCGGGTTCAGGGTTTAGGGTTTAGGGTTTAGGGTTTAGGGTTTTGGGTTTTGGGGTCGGGGTTGGCTGCGCCGCGGCGAACGCCTGGCGCTGTACGGCTTGCAGTTTAGGGTTTAGGGTTTAGGGTTTTGGGCTGGCATTCTGAAGGCTTTCAACAAGGGCTACAAGGCACAAGGTCAAGACTTCAGGGTTTAGGGTTTAGGGTTTTGGGTTTAGACGCAGGGTTTAGGCTTTGTGCTCCATTGCTTGTCTTCAGAAGCGAATTCGAGAGTTGGCAGCCAAGTGGGTCTGGTCTAGCGAGCCCAAGGGCCTTCTGGTGAGGGTTTAGGGTTTGGGGTTCGAGATTTAGGGCTGAAGGTTTAGACTTACGACTCAAGGTTTCGTGTTTAGGGTCTAGGGTTTAGGGTTTACGCACGAGGTCGACTGGGGGAGCGTTAAATCCATGCTTGATACCTTAAGAAGCCTTGACAAGGGTTAAGGGTTCAGAGTTGGAGCTTAGGGCAGGTCTAGGGTTAAGGGTTTAGGGTTTAGGGTTTAGGGTTTGGGGTTCCGTTGCAGAAATTGCCCCGTGTAGACCCTCTCAAGGGTTTTCGGGTCGCCCGTTTTTCGTCTGAGGAGGCGCCGACTCCCGGCAGCAAATACGAAGAGCTCTACGCGGTGAGTTGTAGGGTTTAGGGTTTAGGGTTTAGGGTTTAGGCGTAGAGTTGAGGGTTTAGGGTTTTCCGGTGACTGCACCTTAACTTGCAGGATGATGAGCCGCTCGAGGAAGACGAAGAAGATATTGAGCAAGTTGCTGCGGCTTTGGAGGTATGCTGCCGCTGCTATTGCTGCTGATGCTGCAGCAGCTGCTGCTGCCGCTGCTGTTGCTGCTGATGCTGCAGCAGCTGCTGCTACCGCTGCTGTTGCTGCTGCTACAGCAGCAGCTGCTGCTGCTGCACTAGAGCAGAACCATCTGTTGGTTAAGAGCTGGAGTACTGGGTAAAGAACTGTTGTGGCCGTTTTATACACCAGCAGCAGCGGCAGCAGACGCGGCTGCGTCTGCTGCTGCCGCTGCTGCTCCTGTCACTGCCACTGCTGATGCTGCTGCTTCTGCTTCTGCTGCTGCTGCTGCTGCTGCTGCAGGCACGGGATCGCGAAGAGGCTGAATTGCTTACTGATGAATGGCCAAGAGCAACAGATTGGGCTGGGGGCTCTGGGAGCCCAGCTGTCATATCTCGTGGAGGGAACGCTTGCAGCTGATGCTGGTACTAGCAGCAGCAGCAGCAGCAGCACGAGCAGCAGCAGCAGCAGTAGCAGCCGCAGCTGCAGCAGTAGCAGCCAGTGAATGCCAAGAGTTGCAGAAGCAACGAGAGAAGCAGCAACAGCTGCGGCAGCAATTGCTAGGGCCAGCTGCCGCAGCAACAGCTAGGGCAGCTGCAGCAGCAGCAGCAGCTGCTGCTGCTGCTGCTGCTGTTGAAGGCGCTGTTTCTCTGTTTTTGCGTTGGAGAAATTAAAATTCAAAATATGAAGCCGACTAGTGATTAGACAAAAACAATGCAGCAGAAGAAACACCATAGCAGCTATTAAATGTCTTATTTAATTATTTGTTTGCTTGTTAACTATTTATTTATTTATCTATTTAAAATCTGAGAGGGGAGGCAAAAACAAGCCAAGAGCACCTCTGGGGTGTACGTACACCTCGAAGAGGAAGCGGGGAGGACAAAAAACAGCAAAAAGGCGGAAAGAAGATAACGAATTAAATTAAATTAAATTAAATTAACTTTTAAGGCAGCAGCAGCGGGCCTTCAGCTGCTGCAGGCAGGGACACAGCCGCAGCAGCAGCAGAAGCAGCAGCAGCAGTAGCAGCAGCAGTAGCAGCAGCAGTAGCAGCAGCACAAAAGGGAAGCAAACAAACTGAAGCGAAGCAGCAGCAGCACCCATGCATATACAAATAGATATATATTATTCATAGATCTCTCTAAAAGTCCCAATATATGTATACAAATATATGAATGTATAAATATATAAATAAATATATAAATATATACATAAATATATAAATATATAAAGATATAAATGTATATACACAATAAAAATATCTTTGTAGCTCCAAGTAAGTTATATTCATATCGTTTTCAGGTGTATGGACACCTGCACAAAATATATATATGTATATATATGTACGTACACTGCAGATGTGGCCCATTTGCAGATTAAATGCAATTCATAATATATTTTATTTGTTAAAATAAATAAAATATATTATGCATGCATGCAGGAGCATATTTTGCAATAAATTAAAGTTAGAAAAGCCCCGCGGTGTTCTGAAGTTATCTTTTGTTTAAATCTATTTTGCTGCTTTGTGGCTCTTTGAAGCAGCAGCACTTACTGGCGGCAGATGTTGCAGCTGCTGCAGCTACTGCTGCTGCAGCTGCTGCAGCTGCTGCTGCAGCTACTGCTGCTGCAGTTGCTGCTGCAGCTTCGGGACCGCCTTTTCCCTAGTCAGCAAGTGCTGCTGCTGCTGCAGCACCCCCGCAGCCACGCTGCTGCTGCTGCAACGGATCGGCACTCAAGCTGCTGCTGCAGCGCAGCAGCAGCCCCGTTGCTGCTGCAGCACAGCAGCAGCCAAGCTGCTGCAAAGAAGCCAAGGACTCCAGCATGAAGGGGCCCCACAGGGGCCCCACAGGAGGGCCCCCTTCGGGCCCCACAGTGCTTTAAAGGCAAAGGCGACCTAGCAAGCGTTTTTGCTGCAGCAGCAGCGGCTGCTGCTGCTGCTGCTTCCGCCGCTGCAGCAGCAGCAGCTGCTGCTGCTGCGAGCTCTTCTAAAGAGCTCGGCTCAGCTTAAGGACCCTGGCTTTGTTTCCTTCAATCTAATTTTGCTTCTGGCTAGCTCATGTGTCCTTTTGCTGCTGCCCTCTGTTTGCTGCTGCTGCTGCTGCTGCTGCTACTTTCCTGCAGTCGCCATTCATCTGTGGTGCTGCTGCTGCCTCTTTCCTGCTGCTGCTCTTCTCCCGTGCTGGTGCTGCTGCTGCAGCAGCTAGATTCCTGCTGCGGCCACTCATCTATGCCGCAGCTGCTGCTGCTGCTGCTGCTGATCTTCGGGAGGGCTTGTTTGGGGGAGTTTGCTGCTTGCTGCGGGATTGTCTTTCTGTGTTTTTGTCATTCAACTATTTTAAATCTTTTTGAATTTATTTTATCTTTTTATTTGTTTTGTGTGGCCCTTAAGAGCTGCGGATCTCGCCTGCCTCTGTGCTGCTGCTCTTGAGCCTCAGCATTTGTCTTCTTTTGTATTTCTTAAGCTGTGTTTGGTTGCGTTTGTTTGTCTGCTCAGTGGTCTGCTGCTGCTGCTGCTGTCTTGCTGCTGTAGTCTGCGAGCTGCTGCTGCAGCTTGCAGGCCTTTTGTGGCCACTTTTAACTTTGTTTTACCATTTCCATTCGAAATTGTTTCTCTAAGGTGGAGCCTATTAGTGATCTGCGCAGAAAACGGCCCTCTTGCGCGGTTGCTGCTGCTGCTGCTGCTGCTGCTGCCGTTTCTATCTATGTAGACTGGGACAGCAGGGGGCCCCTGGGGGCCCAGTTGTAAGCCTGTTGCTAGCTCGGTAGATGTAAATTGACAAGGTAAATTCATTAAAGAGGATAGATGGTAGCAATTTTAATAAAAAAGGATAAAATGAGGAGCAGCAGCAGCAGCAGTGAGCAGCGCCGCAGCACAGCGACAGCAGCAGCAGGACCGACAACAGCACCCTTGCTGCTGCAGTGTTGCCGCGCTGCTGCCGCTGATTAGGCACAATATATATATTTTGAGGGTTTGTTTAGCTGCTGTTGTTGTTATTGCTTTTGCTTTTTTGGTTGTTAGCTTCGTTTTCTTTCTCTGCTGTGTCGCTATCTACTGTGACGCTTGCTGTTGCTGCTGCTGCTGCTGCTGCAGTCGGTAGCCGGCGCCGCGCGTCTCTTGTTCCGTTTCTTTGTCTTTAAATATCTTATCTCTTATTTTCTAGAGGCAATCTTAACCCTGAAATGCTTACCAGCCAAACAGCAGCTGCTGCCCGTTCTCTCTCCTCCGGACGCCGCCGTGTCTGTCCCAGCTCACAGCAGCAGCCGTAACAGCAGCAGCAGCAGCAGCAGCAGCAGCAGTAGCAGCAGCAGTAGCAGCAGCTTCGGCAGAGTTTATTTCTGTGTCCTTTGCTGTCCCGCGTGTCTGTCTTGTGGTGTTTGTAGCCGCCGCTTGTCCCGCCGCCGCTGCTGCTGCTGCTGCTGCTGCAGCTGCTGCTCTGCGCGCCCGTTTGCGGGTATTCTTCGGCCATTTAGTTTAATTTTTATTTTTTTATTGTTGTGGCACTTTTAATTTCAAAATGCTCTACAAATTCGTCATCAACGATGAGGGTATTGTCCATCGCCTGCCCCCCGGCGGGCTCACGACCTACCCAGCCCAGTCTGTATGGGTCATGCACGAGCGCTTCCCCTTCCTCAAGCCCTTCTACTTTAGCTTGTGAGTCAGCAGCAGCAGCAGCAGCAGCAGCAGCAGCGGCAGCAGCAGCGGCGTGGCCGGCCCTTCGTGCTGCTGCGGAAGCCTTGCTGCGCTGCTGCTGGCCCTCGGAAGCAAATTCTTCTTTGGGTTTTTCGCTTTTCTTTTAGTGGCCCCTTTGGCCCGTGGGGTGTACGTACACTTGCCTCTGCGGGCCGCGCCCGCTTGCTGTCCATACACTCCAAATCTGCTTTTCTTTTCCTTCAAGTTTGCTGCTGCTGCTGTTCTTTTTGCTGCCAGCGCCTCTGCTGCTGCTCTGCTCTGCTGCTGCTGCCCGTTTGCACGGGTTTTCGTGCTGCTGCTGCTGCGGAGGCTCTTGGCAGTTTCAAACAAAATGCATTTAAATGTATTTCATTTGTTCAATGAGTTTTCTCTTTTGCTGCTGCAGCATGCTGCTGCTTGCCTTGAATTCCGAAACTTGGTGATGCTGCATGCAGTTGGTGCCCATGTGTAAATGCATCCGCAGCAGCGTTGGCTGCTGCTGCTGCTGCAGTTGCTGCTGCAGCAGCAGCTGCAGCAGCTGCAGCCGCGTGGCCCTGCCGCCGCGGCGGCTGCCGCGGTCCACCCCCGCCCGTCGCAGCAGCAGCGCCCACGGCTGCCGCTGCTGCTGCTGCTGCTGCTGCAGCTGCTGCAGCAGCAGGCCGCGTTGTGGGGTGTGCGTCGCAGCGAGACGGAGTTCAGCGCTGCTGCTGCTCTGAGCTGGAACATTGCGAACTACTATGTGGCCCCTCTTGCTGCTTGTCTTTATTTGCTGTTTTGCTACTGCGGCACGAAATATATGAAGAACAGAGAGCCCTTTGACCTGCGCACTCCCCTCAAGTACTGGAACCTCGCCCTCGCCATCTTCAGCTTCATGGGCATGGTCCGTCGCTCTGCTGCTGCTGCTGCTGCTGCTGCTGCTGCAGCACTTGCTGCAGCAGCACTTGCTGCTGCAGCAGCAGCACTAGCTGCTGCGTGTTGTTTGTTTGTGCGTGTGTTGTGCTGCTTCCGCGTGAGTCCGCGGCCTCCCTGCCGCCCCGGCGCCCTCGCTCTCCCCCAGCTGTTTGCTGCTGCTGCTGCTGCTGCTGCTGCTGCGCTGCTGCTGCAGGTGCGGGTGGTGCCGCAGCTGGCGTGCCTGGTGTGCAGCTACGGGTTCGAAGCGTCGCTGGCGAGCCCGCCCGTGTACGCGTACGGGCACGGGGCCGCGGGGTTTTGGACTCTGTTGTTTATTTACTCCAAGTTCTTCGAACTCTTGGACACAGTCTTCATAATTCTGCGGAAAAGACCCCTCTCCTTCCTGCACTGGTACCACCACGCCACAGTGCTGCTCTACACGTGGGACGCGTACACGTGGGAACAGCCCGCGGGCATTTACTTCGTGGCGATGAACTTCAGCGTGCACGCGGTGATGTACTTTTACTACTTTTTGGCCGCGCAGCTGCGGCGGCCGCTCTCGTGGGGCATTTTCGTGACGGCCGCGCAGATCTCGCAGATGTTCGTGGGCGTGGGGGTCACCTTCGTGTCGATGTACTTCGCCTTCAGTTTTCCGTACCGGCCGCTGTGGCGGCGCGAGCAGATCCGCGACGCCCTCGCCCACGGCCACTACATCACGCCCAAGAACCTCTACTGGGCCTGCCTCATGTACTCCACCTACTTCTACCTCTTCGCCGAGTACTTCGTCAAGCGCTACGTCAAGGGCCGCGGCCACGCCGCCAAGGCCCGCAAACACTGCAAGCAGCTCCAGTGACCGCAGCAGCAGCAGCAGCAGCAGCAGCAGCAGCAGCAGCAGCAGCAGCGGCGGCGGCGGAGGCAGGAGCGGGAGCGCGGGGGAAGGGTTTTCTTTGGGCTGCTGCGGGATTCGGCAAGTCGTCTGGGCGGGGCAAATGTCTTTATGTGCCTTTCGGCGGCGCCCTACGCGCTCTATCGCCAGCTGCTTCCTGCTGCTCCCTCCGCGCTGCTGCTGCTGCTGCTGCTGCGCCGCCGCCGCCGCCGCCGCTCGCGGAACCTCCCACCACCCACTCCCGCATTTGCTTTCTCGCCCGCCCCTCTTCCTGCAGCCAACTGCTGTACCTACACCCCCCGCGTGCTCTCCCACGCGTTCTTAGTCCGTAGCCCGCGCCGCTCGCTCCACTCACGGCCACCCACGGGGACCCAGGGGCCCACGGGGGCCCCAGGGGGCCCCACGGGGCCCCACGGGGGCCCCACGGGGGCCCCTCGGGTACCCTGGTGCTGCAGAAATGCTCGCTGCGCGTGTCCCGTGGGCTTCGAAGCAGCGAATCGGCGCGCATGCATGGGGAGGTTGTGTTGATCATTCATGTAGACAGTGTATACACAGTGTATATATAGTACGTTATGTATATAAGTGCATGCATTGTATGCATCGTCCGTAAATATATATGGTAAATTCTCCGCATTTATTGTATATATTTAGCATTTATGCATATGGTGCGTGCAGCAGCGAGCCGCATGTATATGCCCACAGTGTATAGTGCGCCGCCCATGCATGCAATATATGTAGCAAGTCCTTTATATATATTTGTTATATATATTGTACATCTTATATATATAAGTGCTGTATGAAGGTGTATTTGCGAGGATATGCCGGGGAGCCAGTCGAAGGCGTGCGGTGTATAGACAGCTCTGGAGAGGCAACCGCGGCTTCAGGGGCCAGTAAAATGCATCATGTGTCTGCCAATTCACAATTCAAAAACACAATTATATCTAAAATTAAATAATCTGTATATAGTATATACACAAAGACACAAAGCTGCGCCATCCGCTTTAACCCGTGCCTGCATCAATGTACCTACATCTCTCCACTCCAAGATGTAGGGGGGCCCCCAAGGAGGGGCCCCCAAGGGGGCCCCTGCGGCCTCAGGGGCCCCCAAGGGGGCCCCCATAGGGGACGGCGGATGCATGCAGCGGCAGACAGGGACTTGATTTGTAAGAAAAGGGGAAATAGAACTTCTGGAGCCCCTAAGGAAAGCCGACTTAGACGCCCTGGCGCTGTTGCTGCTGCTGCTGCCAGGGGGGCTGCTGCTGCTGCAGCGGCAGCAGCAGCTGAGCTGCAGCGGTTGCCGATCTCGCAGCTGCCGCGGCCGCTGCTGGTGCGACCAAGGATCCATCAGCAGCAGCAGCAGCAGCAACAGAGCAGTAGTAGCACAGCAGCAGCAGCAGCAGCAGCAAGGGGGCCTGTTGTTCCTGGTGGCGGCGTTGGCCTGCCTCCGTTTGTCGCAGTTGCTGCGAGTAGAAACAAATTTATAATTCATGAAATCGCCAGCAGCAGCAACAGCAGCAACAGCAGCAGCAGCAGCAGCAACTAGATGCGCCCGAGTACACAAGTAGATTCATATCTTCAGGCGTATTTACATATGTTTGCTATTTAAATAGGATATAGTCTCCCGTATATATGCAGATGTAAGAGGAAGCAAATATATATGTACACTTCTACTTAGACCCTGATACATATTTGTACCTGCAAACACATTTATATAAATGCATATTCATTTATATATTTATATTCATACTTTAATGCTAAGAGTTGTCTATAATACACATATATATATAAATATATATCTATGTGCATCTGCATGCACATTATATACTCACACTGACATGCGTAAATTCGTTGATAATGTATACGTATATATATATATATATATGTGTTAATGTATATATATATATATACACATATGTATTTATACATGTATATGTTGTATGTATATAGATATGTACATGTACGTATTAATACTATTTATACATGTGTAGAGTTCCCAGATACCTTTATATACCTAAACAAAGTGTATATACATATATATATATAGATATGTAGAACTATGATATATAATACATATGTTTATAATATATATATATATTGATGTATAATATTGATGTATATGTGAACATAGGTACAGTGTAT